GGTCTGGTTTGAGCTTCGTCTTGCAGGCTTAGCTTATGAATGGTCTGGTTTGTCTGGTCTCGTTTATTGGTCGGGTGAGGGTTGGTCTGGTCTGGTCTGGTTGGTCTGGCTACGCTTGCTCAGGAGCGAACTTCGATACAGGACGGCGGACACATCAGGCCTCGGGGGCGAACTGAAATACAGGACGGCGGCCTCCGGAAGCTTCAGGGGCGAACTGAAATACAGGACGGCGGCCTCAGGGGCGGGGGCCAACTGAAATCCAGGACGGCGGCCCCGGGGAGCTTCGGGGGCGAGCTGAAGTACAGGACGGGGGCCCGTTTTCAGGCCGTGGGCGGCCACGCCATTGAGGCAGATGGAAATAAGGAGAACAGACTGTACTGTTACTTCTGGTGGCCTCGGGTCTTGTAGCCGGGGCGGTGCAGCGTATACCGTGTCGCCACAAGCACACCCTTGAAGTCATACGTGTATCCCTCGTCAATATGTCATTCCATCATTCTGCTGCGTGACTCAGTACTTCCTTCGAGCGTCTGCTCCGCAGTTGGTCTGGTTGGTCTGGCTGGTCTGGTTGACTGTCAGCCGCGTTCTCTAGCGGAAGTTGGACACCTGCCTCGTCTGTTTGGTCTGGCTGGTCTGGCTGGTCTGGCTGCTCCTGTTGACTGTTGCCTCGTTCTCCAGCGGAAGTGGAATACCTGCCTCGTCTGATTGGTCTGGCTGGTCTCGCCGGGATGGCTGGGCTGACTGTCTAGTTGGTCTGGTGAGTCTGGCTTGCCTGTTGGTCTGGTTGCTCTTGCTGATCTGGTTGCTCTTGTAGACTGCTGCTTCGTTCTCAGTTGATTTCTTGCTTCGCCTGGTTGGTCTGGCTGTTCTGGCTGGGCTGGCTGGGCTGACTGGGCTGAGGCGTCTAGTTGGTCTGGTGAGTCTAGCTCGCATGCCTGGTCTCGTGCGTATGCTTGGTGTCGTTGGTCTGGCGTTTTTCCAATGCCCCCACCACGACACAGACCAACCAGACCAGCCAGACCAACCAGACTAGCGCACGGCGGGACGCCAATTTTCATCTGAGCAAGCTCTCAAGCTTGGGACTGAAGCTCCAGCTTGAGACTTAAGCTGGTCTGGTTGGTCTACCTGGCCGATCTGACTGGCTGGTCTGACTGGCCAGGTCCGCGGCCTGATTCGTCCGGCCAGGTTGGTCTGCTTGGTCTGGCCAGGTTGATCTGCTTGGTCTGGTCTGGGTTTCGCTGGTCTGAACGGCTAGCTGGTCTGCCTGGTCTGGTTGGTCTCCCTGACTAGTTGGGCTGGCTGGTCTGACTAGTCTGCTTGGTCCGGACAGGTTGGTCTGCTTAGTCTGGTCTGTGCTTCGCTGGTCCGAACGGCTGGCTGGTCTGGTTGGTCTGATTCATTTACTTGGTTGGTCTGGTTGATCTACCTGGCCAGTCTGACTGGGCCGTCTGGCTAGTCTGCTTGGTCGTCGCCGTCGTCCTCGTCCTCGCTCTTGATTTTGTCGTCTTCGTCGTCGTCGTCGTCGTCCTCATCGTCCTGCCCCTTGCGTCGCCGCAGCCCGAGCTGGGACCGAAAGCGCTGCTGCGTCAAGTCTGGCTACGGCGGAAAAGGAGGTGGGGAGCGAGGGAACATCAGCAGCCATATCAATTCATATGCCCCAAAGCAAAGTAAGGCGCTGGGGCAGAAGAACTTTTCGCCTCGAGCGGCTTCGAATCTAATGTCAATGTACGGTTCCACTCGCAGCCTGTTGGCAAGGCCGCACTGGCCATGATCTCAGCGAGCGCGCGGGCACGTGGAATCCATCCGCGCAGACATGCCCGTCCTAGAGGTCGCGGAATGGTGTCGGCGATTGTGAGGATGAAGGGCCCGCCCTGGCGTCATGAAGAAAGTGCAGGAAGGCTGGAAAAAGTGGCTGGGGCCGGCTCTTCAACTCTTTCCACCCCTGGCCAGTTTTCTTTTTAATTTTTCCAGCCCTGGCGACCTCATCCCAATTTCTTCGTGCTCGTCGCAGGCCTTGCTGGTTTTGCCGGCCCTGGCCACTTCCTTCTTTGACGGAGTTCCTTACCTACACCTTTTCCAGCCTCCCTGAGTGACAACGGTTTCTGGCAGTTTCCAGTCTCCGGGGGCCTTCGCCGGGCCCCGTGACCGTGAAATCGCGCTTTGGGATGGGGAGCCAGTCCCCGGGAAGGGGTCCAGACCTGTGAGGGTCCACGTCGTGAACAATTCGTGACGTCGGGGGTCTGGGGGTGAGGACCAGGTCAGTTTTCGTGGACTCTTTGGGACATCTCGCCTCGGGATGCTTTTTAGCACCTGCGCCTCGTCGAGGGCTGTCTTGGGGTGCCCGGATCGTTCCGAACGGCCGCCGGAGGCCATTGTTATGAGCCGAAAGCCGCCAGGCGCCGAGGGAGGTGAAAGCTAGGGGTTGTGTGGATGCCATGGCGGGGGCCATGAGACCTCCCAGATTTCATGCCCCCTCTTCTTCTTTGAACGCATCCCCCAGTCCCCACTCGTCCGCGCACATGCCTCGGGCCAGATGCGCACCCCTGCGCACCCGATTCGCCCTTCAGAGATGGAGGGGCCACGACAGATTGGGACTGGTCCAGATTTCCAGCACGATGGAATATTTTTCGGTCCTGGCGCTCTGCCTCGGTGTCGACCTCACGGGGCCCGTTTTGTCGGGCCCCCCGGTGCCATCAAGCATGGGCCCAGGACGGAGAGCCACCCCCGATGGAGAGGTCGAGGCCGCCTGGTGCCGCGCGCTGACAGAATCACATCGTGGGATGTCGTCTGTGTGCGTGTGCGTGTGCGTGTGCGTGTGCGTGTGCGTGTGCGTGTGCGTGTGCGTGTGCGTGCGTGCGTGCGTGTGTGTGTGTGTGTGTGTGTGTGTGTGTGTGTGTGTGTGTGTGTGTGTGTGTGTGTCTGTGTCAGTGTCTGTGTGTGTGTGTGTGCACGTGTGTGTGTGTGTGTGTGTGTGTGTGTGTGTGTGTGTGTGTCTGTGTGCGTGTGTGCGTGTGTGTGTGTGTGTGTGTGTGGGGCCCCTGCCCCAGGGGGGGGGACCATCGACCCCCCAAGCTCCCATCCATCGTGGATCGGGGCCGAGGCCCCGCGCCCTGCCCGAGGAGGGTGCGGCCTCGCCTCGGGGGCCCGCGTGGCCGCCCGGTGTCCGCCTCGTGGGCGCCTCGCGGGTGCCCCGTGCGCTGGGCGGGCCCGTCGTCGCGGCTTCGCTGCGCTGCCGCGCGCGGCCGCCCGTGGGCGCCGCCGTGGGCGTCCCGTGGGCGGCCGCAGGGCCTGTGCCGCAGCTTGCGACGCACAGCTTGCGCCGCGTCGCCTCCACCGCACAGCTGGCACCACACACATAGCTTGGATCGTACAGCTTACGCCACAGCGCTTGCACCACATACGTCTCCAGTTTTTTTAGCTACGTCTGAACACACGTCTGTATGTGTGCACGTTCAGGTAGGTACTTGCAGGTGTGTAGATGTGTGTGTCTGTGTGTCTGTGTGTGTGCGTGTGTGTGGTGCCGCCCAGCTTGCACCAACCACAGAGCTGACACCACATAGTATTCACCTCTGCACCGCTCTGCTGGCATCGCCCGGTTTGCACCACATCTAGTGCCCGCCCGTGGGCACCCCATGGGCCGCCGCGTAGCTTGCACCACGGAGCGTGCACCGCATGGCTTGCACCGTGCAGACTGCACCACATCTCCTGCACCGCATGGATTGCACCACGTCGCTCACACCAGCTAGCTAGCACCACGCAGCTTACACCACGTAGCTTGCACTGCAGAGCTCGCCCCTCCTAGGAGTGAGTGCGCTTCGCGTGCCGCACCACGCAGCCTTGCACATCTACGGTGCAGCAGCTCTCCAGGCTGGCATCCGCTCTTCTGGGTCGCTCGCGGGGGCGCGGCGGCAATCGCGCTTCGCGCGTCGCGGTCTGGGCGCCCTTCTCCGAGGGGGCCGCCCAGGGGCGCGAGGGCGCGAAGATAATCGCGCATCGTGGGGCGCGGTGCCCGAAAATATGCGAAAACCCCCGACGACGACGCCGACGACGACGCCGACGACGACGACGACGACGACGCTGACGACGACGACGCCGACGACGATGACGCCGACGACGACGACGACGACGACGACGACGACGACGACGACGACGACGACGACGACGACGACGACGGCGGCGGCGACGGCGGCGACGACGACGACGACGACGACGACGACGACGACGACGACCGACGACGCCGACGACGACGACGACGACGCCGACGACGACGACGACGACGACGACGACGACGACGACGGCGGCGCGACGACGACGACGACGACGACGCCGACGACGACCGACGACGACGACGACGACGACGGCGACGACGACGACGACGACGACGACGACGACGACGACGACGACGACGACCGCGCGGGCGGCGGCGGCGGTGGCGACGGCTGGGGCGCGGGTGGGGCGCATCGTGGGGCGCGGTGCCCGAAAATATGCGAAAACCACCGACGACGACGCCGACGACGACGCCGACGACGACGACGCCGACGACGACGCTGACGACGACGACGACGACGACGACGACGACGACGACTGACGACGACGACGACGACGACGACGACGACGATGACGACGACGGCGACGGACGACGACTGACGACAAAGACGACAAAGACGACAAAGACGACAAAGACGACAAACACGACAAAGACGACAAAGACGACAAAGACGACAAAGACGACAAAGACGACAAAGACGACAAAGACGACAAAGACGACGAAGACGACAAAAACGACGACGACGACGACGACGACGACGACGACGACGACGACGACCACGACGACGACGACGACGACGACGACGACGACGACGACGACGACGACGACGACGACGACGACGACGACGACGACGACGACGACGACGACGACGACGACGACGACGACCGCGCGGGCGGCGGCGGCGGTGGCGACGGCTGGGGCGCGGGTGGGGCCCTTCTCCACCCTCCCTCTCGAGGCGGGCTCACGCTTGCTGAAGGCCTGCCTCGCCGCCTTCCTGGTCTTCGGGGCCGTGCTGAACGTGCTGCTGCTGGGGGGCGTGGCCTGACAGCGGGGGGGCGCTGCCCTGGCGTCTGGGGTGGGCTCCGAGCCGCTGTCCTGCGATGGCACACAGGGCTGCTCCGCTGCCCACGGGGAAACAAAAAGGGCGCCACCGGGTGCGCGCTTCCTCTTGCTTGCTGATCTGGGCAGCGCTGGCTCCCCTGGCCGAGTCTTGACGCCCGCAGCAAGCAGCTTGTGGGAGAGTGGCCTTGTCGCAGATTGCGCAGTGGAGCTGAGGATTCTTCACCATGTCTCTTGTCGCTCCCTCCCTCAGCGAGGGCGCACCAGTCCTCTGGTGAGGCCGAGCTCCGAGACATTGAAACGTCAGTCTCGCAGTCTGATAGGGGAGGGTCAGATTTCGGTCCACTGACGGGCAGCGTCATGTGCTACAGGTGTTTGTCTCAGTTTGTACGCTCAAGGGCCAGATCGGAAGGCGGATGTGTGTGTGTGTGTGTGCTTGGGTACTTCAGTGAGCAACGCAGATTGGGTTAGATGCGAGAAAGAAGGGCGGTCAGTGAGAGCCAGCGCCAGTTTATAGCCTTCCCCTCCCCATCCATCTCTCCTTCTCTCTCTCCCTCTTCGCACCCCTCCTTCCCTTTCCCTTTCCATTTCTCTCCCCCTACCCTCTCCCTCTTCCTTCCCTGCCCCATGTACTCTAGGTCCGTGCCGCGCCGACGCGGAGGCGACGCCAGCGCGGACGGTCAAGGTTACTCGGCAAGTACTGCTCCGTGGTCAGAAAGCCGCGATCTCCCAAGCGTGCAGAGCGGTGTCAGAAGCCACGCGGCAAATCGCCACGACACGAACCTGCCGCACCTGCCCTTTTTTTTTGTTAGTGTGGACCCCCAGAGAGGTCTGGACCACTGCCCTCTTATTGCTGCTCGTCCCGAGTGGTCTGCTCACTCCCCGGGCCCGGTGAGGAGGGCCCCAGATGCCGACCATGCGCCCCCAAAATCGCGGGCGGCAGCGAGGGGGGTGAGGACTAGGGAATGTGTGTGTGTGTGTGTGTGTGTGTGTGTGTGTGTGGGTATCATGGCGGGGGCCATGATATCGCACCAGACTTATTTGTGCCTCTTTTTTTTTCTTCTTCTTCTTCTTCTTCTTTCAATGCGTCCCCGGCCCCCCCCTTGGGCCGCGCACTTGCTGCCCCTTCAATGATTTGCGCCCCACCCCCCCCCCCCCCTCTCCTGGACGCCCTGCCACGGTTCCCCTGGGGCCGTAGGCGACCCGATGAGTAGGAGGAGGAGGAGTGAGGAGGGAGGAGAGGCGGAGAGGAGGCGGAGAGAGGAGGAGGAGGAGGTAGGAGGAGGAGGAGGAGGAGGAGGAGGAGGTCGGGTCGCCGAAGCCCCTGGGAGAAGCCCTCCAGGGCGCCCCCCCCTGGCCGCCCCCGACAAGAAGAAGGCCCTCGCCGCTCTCCTCCCCCCCCTCCCGGCAGGCGCGAGGCGGCCCGGGGCACCGACCGCCCGCGCTCCTCGCAGACCTGGGCTCCGCGCGCCCCGCGCCCCCGCTCCCCCGCGCCACGGGGCCCCCACCTCCACCCCTCGGGCCGGTCGAAAGGGGGGGGGAGATTTCGCTCGGGCCTGTCCTTCTACAGGAGGAATGCACAAACACAGCAGGAAGGTCGCAGGGGGACGATCCTCCGAATATGTTCTAGAGCTCGCTCTGGTTATTGTGCCCAGAGGCATTTTTTGTATGCAAGCTGTTCCTTCGCATGTGCCCAGAAATAGTCAAAACATAGTTAGACTATGCTTAATTTTTCTTCAACATCCCCCTGCAGGCGGATATGCCCGACCTAAGGGTAGATCCGGGACAGGTCTGACGAAGCCAGGACCATTTCAGCATCGGGCTGGGAAAAAGGCAGGGATCTCCGAGCCCCGGCGGCTCTGGAGAACGCATCGGGCGCTGCGGCAGTTCCAGAGCCTTCCAGGACGCTCTGAGATCGTTCCGGAAAGCTCTGGGGCGTTTCATCCCAGTCTTGCAGTCAACCCGCGTAACAATGATGGGCAACCTTCCCAAGGGTACCCTTGCATCCTTGCCCCTTCGGCCCATCCTTGGCCACTTTCGCTGGCCGCACCCCCCTCGGAAAGCCTCGAACTGGCCCTCAAAGGCCCCGGCATCCTTGCCGCGCATCCTTGTGACACGGGTTTACTGTGTCCCAGTCTTGGGCCCGCCCGACGAGGGGAAGGGGTACGGACTCTGCCGTGCGCAGCTGCTTTCGTCCCGCAGCCGACTACGGGTCCCCCCCCCCCCGGGGGCGCGGAGGGAAAATCGCGCTTCGCTTCGCGCGCCGCTTCCTGGGAGAGCTGCCCCTCTGTCCCGGGAAGGGGGGGGGCCTCGCGAGAGCGCCAAGAGGTGACGAATGCGGTGACCTACCGCTGGGCTCCTTTCTCGATGCTTTGGCGCCTCTGGCGCGGGAGGGCGCTGGACGATGCGGCTGCGTGCAGCTGCTTCGCTACCCCCCCCTCCTTTGCTGTCCACCCCCTTTCGTCCACCCCGATCCCCGCGGGGCCGCCCGGATCGGGGGACCATGCCTCCTAGGGCCGATGCCAACGCGGAGTACCGCAACAGGGAGATCGCCTCCGTGGAGGCGGAGCTGAAGGTCGCGAGGGGGCCACAGAAGGGGGTGATTATCAGAACGGGAGGTGGAGGAGGTGGAGGAGGAGGAGGAGGAGGAGGAGGAGGAGGAGGAGGAGGAGGAGGAGGAGGAATAATGAGAGGATAACGAGGACGAGGAGGGGGTAACCTGAGAAGGATGGGGGGGAAGGGGGACGAGGATAGGAGGGGGAGGGAGGAGGAAGGGGAGGAGGAGGAAGGAAAGGATAGGAATATAGGCGGAGGACAGGGGGGATAAGTGGAGGAAGAGGGGAGGAGGAGAAGGAGGAGGAGGAGGAGGACGACGACGACGACGAAGAGGACGAGGAAGGAGAGGAGGATGAGGAGTAGGAGGAGGAGGGGGGAAGGGAGGGAGGGAAGCAGCGGCAGCAGCAGCAAGCAACGGAGTGCAGCGTCGTCGCCGTTGCCGCTGCTGCTTCCGCCACTGCTGCCGCCAGAGCTGCTGGTGTCAAAGCCGCTGGTGCTGCTGCCGTTGCTCCTTCTCCTGCTCCAGGTCCTTCGATGCTGCTGCGGCTTCGCTCCTCCTCCGTCCTCCGTCCTCCGTCCTCCGTCCTCCGTCCTCCGTCCTCCTCCTCCTCCTCCTCCTCCTCCTCCGTCCTTTTCCTCCTCGTCCTCCTCGTCCTCCCTCCTCCTCGTCCTCCCTCCTCTTCCCCTCCTCCCTTGCCGTCCCCCTCCCCCCCTGCTGCTGCTGGCCCCTCGCCCTTCCTTCCCCCGCTGCCCCTGCTGCTCCTGGCCCCTCTCCCCTTCCTTCCCCCGGGAGCGGCGCGGGGCGCGCGCTGGGCGGCGCAGGGGAAGGCCGCGCCGCCCCCGCTGCGCACCGCCTCCCGGCGAGCCTCGAGGCGGGGCCGCGTCGGCCCAGCGGGCGGGCGGGGAGAGGGGGGGGGAAGGCGAGGGAGGGGAGGGGAGCGGGACGGAGGAAGGGCGGGAGAAGGCGAGGGAGGGGGGCGGGCGAGGGAGGGGAGGGGAGAGGCGGAGGAGGGCCCGAAACTCAAATCATAAAACTTGCGGGCCGCGAATAAAACCTCTTGATTCCCGCGCGAGACAAAACGCACGAACAACATAACGCGGGCTGTTGCGCGAGGCGGGAGGAGAGGAAGAGGAGGGGGGGAGAAGGAGGAGGGGGAGGAGGAGGAGGAGGAGGAGGAGGGGAGTGAGGAGGAGGAGGAGGAGGAGGAGGAGGATGATGATGAGGAGGAGGATGTTTTTTTTGTGCGCAAGTACAAGCGTCTCGGTTTCTTGCCCCACTTTAATTAGGGCGTCTCGAGACAGGCAAACGACTCCATATGGGCATCGCGGAGCCGAGCTGGTCATTAGCACGCACAGCAGCCTAATGGCACAATTTGAATTCCGCAAAAAAGCGCCGCGCTGTTTCCTGGCCCCCCACCGTGAATTCCAACGCGCTGGAGAGTTGGGCCGCCGCCGTTCGAAGGCCGATTTTGCCGGCACCGTGCTCTTTCATGATCTTCTTGATCGCAACTTTTTGGTTCGGCTTCAGCTCGCCCGCCTTCTCCAGGGTGGATTTCCTCCCCGAAACTTTGGCGTCGCCACTCGTCGTGATCATCTTAGGGGACAACTTGTCCTTCAGCCGCTTGGTCTTCTTGATGCTCTTCTTGATGTTCTTGGCTCGGTTTTCCCGGCCGTCCTTCAATCGGTAGTTCACCGAGTCTTTTTCCAGTTCAACGCGTGCGAATTCAATTCGCCGCATGAAGACCTGCACTGGGCAGGCGTCGTGGTCGAAGAGGCCTGGCGAGTCCGCTACGATGATTGTCACGCCCAGCTTCTTGCTGAGGTCAAAAATCTCCTCGGCTACTTTGGCCGAGCGGGCCACCGCGCGGCTTTCGCCGACGACGAGCTTCTTGTTCCCCTGGCTGGCCTCCTCAAGCAGACGCTTGAATGTAACTACCCCTTTTGGGCGGCCACGGCAATCGGTAGCGCAAACCATGGATTCCAGATGTTGCCCGTCCCCTCCCTCCCCGCCCCCTCTCGCTCTGATTGCGTGGCTGCCCAGACCTCTCCGCTAGCGGCAAGCTCCCGCTGATGCGCTCGCTCACGAACTTGACGTCCTCCTCGTAACCGCGCGCAGCCGCAAGGGCCTGTTTTTTTCTGCCGTGCTTGACTCCTTTTGTTGGCTCCTGCATTTGCTGCTGAACTCGTCCTCGAATACACGATGGTCTGCTCGCGCGCCATCTTGCGGCTCGTAGCCTTGCGGGGCGCCATGTTGCACTGAGGGGCGACAGCAAAACAGCGGCTCGCGGCAGCAGAATGCTTGAGCCAACGGCGCGCTGATGATGGCGATGGCGATGCTGATGCAGAAGCGCATGCGATGAGCACGATGTGGCTGATGCTGATGCTGATCGCCCCATGCTGTTCCACTCCACTCCAATCCAGGCCCTCCAACCCCACGGGGGCCCTCAGGCGTTTTGTGGACTATCTGAGGCCATGTCAAGGCCTCCGTGACGGCATCGGAAGGCCCCGCATGACTTCAAAGGCGTCCAGGACGGCCCCCAAGAGGCATCCAAGAGGGCATCCGAACCAGCAGAAACGGTACGCAATTGAGCCCAGGGGGGCGGAGGAGGATGAGGAGGGCGAGAAGGAGGAGGGAGGGTAGGAAGGGACCACGACGGCGAGGAAGAGGAGGATGTGGGAGGAGGAGGAGGAGGAGGAGGAGGAGGAGGAGGAGGAGGAGGAGGAGGATGCGGTCCGAAGAGTACCGGTATCGGTGTCTTGTCGGCTCTAGGGCAGCCAGGAGCCGCCGGCTCCCTGGAACCGGCCTCAGGACTCCTCCCCCCCCCGCCCTCCCCCCCCTCTCCCCCTCCCTCCCTGGCCCCCGCCCCCCGCCCGGCCGCCTCTCCCCCCCCCATCTGGGGGCCGCCGCAGCCAGAAAAAGGTATGAAAATGTTTTCATACCTTTTTGGCCCGGGGGGGTGGATAGCCAGGGGGGTGGATAGCCCGATTCGCCCTCCCGCTGAAGTCGCACGCGCGCCTTGCGTGCAGGGGCCTCCACGCAACTCCAGCTTCCCTCTCACCAGTGGCAGTGGCGGGGGTTCGCTGGATCGGACAGGGTCGTTTCCGTCCCAGGTCGCATCTTTTTTTCTTCAAAAAGTACCAGCAGATATTTGGAAAACGAGAAAATTTTCTCGAAATCGAGAATATTTTCTCGAAAACGAGAAAATCTTCTCGTTTTCGAGAAAATCTTTTCGTTTTCCACATGAATTCTTGCAAAAAGCAACACCGGGAAGCAATTTCGGCGGACGGTTTGGGGTCCCAGTCACAACGAAAATGACCACTCGTGGACCAGCATTGGTGCCCCATACCGCACGGCGACGACGACCACGGGGTCGACGACGACGACGACGACAGGGGCGACGACGACGACGACGACGACGAGGACGGACGACGACGACGACGACGACGACGACGACGACGACGACGACGACGACGGCGACGACGACGACGACGACGACAAAAACGAAAAAAACGACGACGACGACGACGACGACGACGACGACGGCGACGACGAGGACGACGACGACGACGACGACGACGAGGACGACGACGACGACGAGGACGGACGACGACGACGACGACGACGACGACGACGACGACGACGGCGACGACGACGACGACGACGACGACGACGACGAGGACGACGACGACGACGACGACGACGACGACGACGACGACGAGGACGACGACGACGACGACGACGACGACGACGACGACGCCGTCCTCTACGGCAGAGCCCTCTCTGCCGCTCTGAGCCCGCTCTGCGGCAGAGCCGCTCTGCCGCCGAGGAGGAGGACGACGACGACGACGACGACGACGGCGACGAAGAGGACGACGACGAGGACGACAAGGACGACAACGACGACGACGAAGACGAGGACGCGGACGACGACGAGGGCGACTGGGCAGCAGCGCGGCGAACTGTGGCACCGCGGCGGCGCACAGCGCGGCAGGAAGAGGGCGACCGCCTGCTCCTTTTTTCCCGCTCTGGCACTTGGCTGTTCTTCCTCTTCCTCCTCCTCCTCCTTTTCCGCCTCCTCCTCTTCCTCCTCCTGTGCCCTTCTCTCATGATCCTCATCATCGTCGTCATCATCTCTTCCTCCTCCTCCTCCTCATCATCATCATCATTATCATCATCCTCCGCTCTCTCTCTCTCTCTGTCTCTCTCTCTCTCTCTCTCTCTCTCTCTCCTGCTCCCGTCTACTCAATTACTCAGTATTTCTTGGCGCGCGTGGAGAATCGTGCAGTGTCCATAATGGGAAAATTCGCAATGTGTGCCTGGATACACAAGTCAACCCTGAGCGCTGACCAAGCGGCGCGCGCTGGTGACACGTGTCACACACGCGCGCGGGGGTCGTTTGCATTGTCCACAATTTAAAGGTCTTTAGGTTGGCCTGGAAAAAGAAAATGGGCACTTAGCGGTCACCGATTCGATTTTCACGTCAGAATGTTTGTTTTGCTTGTCCTCTACTGTGGGCAGCGCAAAACTCTCCACGCGCGCGGGTGACACGCGCCACCTGCGCGCGCGCGGGTCGCTCTGAATTGTCCAGAATAAAGGTGTCGCCATGTATGTTTGGAGAGTAAGGTGAACCGTTACCGGTGACCGATCGCATTTTTTCAAGTCAACATGTTTTCCCCGCCTGCTCCAGGATAGCGTTCCCCATGCTGGCCCGTAGATCCAAGTGTCCCCTTAGCGGTCGCCGAGTGACGCGCGCGGGGGACACGTGTCACCTGCACGCGCGCGGAGAGTTCTGGACTGCCCACAGTTAACATGTCGTCACCCTGGCCTGGTAATGAAACGTGCAACCTTAGCGATCACCCACTTGGGTTCCCAAAGTAGCACGTCGTTTCTACATGTGCTGAATCAGACGCATGCGCGCGCGCGGGTGGCCATGGTGACCCGCGCGCATGGAGATTTTTGGATTGCCCACAATGTAACGATGGCCAAGTCGGCCTCGATGTGCACAGTGGGGCTTCAGCGGTGAACGGCAGGATCTTCCAGATATCGTGGTTCTGGACCAATATATTATCGTGCCCGTTGACATGATTATCTTCCTCCGCTCCGAACCGTTCGTCGGTCGGGGCCTATATGATTTTGGGGCGTCTCGTTTTTAATTAAAATGAGGCAAGAAATCGAGACGCCTGTACTTGTGCACAAAAACCATCGTCGTCCTCCTCCTCCTCCTCCTCCTCCTCCTCCTTCCCCTCCTCCTTCCCCTCCTCCTCCCCCTCCACTTTCTCCTCCCCCTCCTCTTCCTCTCCTTCGGCCGCACGTAACAGCCAGCGTTCTTTTCTTCGTGCGTTTTGTCTCGCGTGGGAAGCAAGAGGTTTTATTCGCGGCCCGCAAGTTTTCTGATTTGATTTTCGGGCCCTCCTCCGCCCCTCCCCTCCCCTCCCTCGCCCCCTCCCCCCTTCCTCCGCCCCTCTCCCCTCCCCTCCCCCGCCTTTCTTCCGCCCCTCCCCCCCCCCTTCCTCCGCCCCTCTCCCCCCCCCTCTCCCCGCCCCCCCGCTGGGCCGACGCGGCCCCGCCTCGAGGCTCGCCGGGAGGCGGTGCACGGCGGGGACGGCACGGCCTTCCCCTGCGCCGCCCCGCGAACGCCGCGCGCGCCCCGCGCCGCGCTGCCGGGGGGGAGGGGGAAGGAAGGGGAGAGGGGCCAGGAGCAGCAGGGGCAGCGGGGGAAGGAAGGGCGAGGGGCCAGCAGCAGCAGGGGGGGAGGGAGGGGAGGGCAAGGGAGGAGGGGAAGAGGAGGGAGGACGAGGAGGAGGGAGGACGAGGAGGAGGGAGGACGAGGAGGAGGAGGAGGAGGAGGAGGAGAAGGACGGAGGAGGAGAAGGAGGAGGAGGAGAGGGAGGAGGGAGGACGGAGGACGGAGGAGGAGCGAAGCCGCAGCAGCAGCGAAGGACCTGGAGCAGGAGAAGGAGCAACGGCAGCAGCACCAGCGGTTTTGACAACAGCAGCTCTGGCGGCAGCAGTGGCGGAAGCAGCAGCGGCAACGGCGACGACGCTGCGCTCCGTTGCTTGCTGCTGCTGCCGCTGCTTCCCGCCCTCCCCCCCCCCTCCTGCTCCTCTTACTCCTCATCCTCCTCCCTCCTCTTCTTATATTCCTCCTCCTTCTCCTCTTCCTCATCCTCTTCCTCGTCCTATTAATCCTCCTCCTCCTCCTCGTCCTCCTCCTCTTCCCTTCCCCTCCCCTTATCCCCCCTCCTCTCTCCCTCCTCCCCCCTCCCCCTCCTCCCTTCCTCCGCCTCCCCCTCCTCCCCCCTCCTCCTCCTCTGGTTACCTCCATCCTCCTCCTCCTCTTCCGCCTCCTTCTTCCTCCTTCTCCTCCTCCTCCTCCTCCTCCTCCTCCTCCTCCTCATCCCATTTTTGGCGCCGAGGGAGAAAGTGCGTGCAGATAACGTGTTGGAATGGTGGACCCTCCAACTGAAGGGCAGGTCTGTCCTGCGAACGTGGCCGAAACTCGGGCCGTTCGGGCAGAGAGGCAAGGACAGTGATAACGAGGGAGGAGGAGGGGAAAGGGGAGGAGGAGGAATAGGAGGAAGAGGTGGACGCGGAGGTGGAGGAGGAAGGATACGCCCGTTGCCTGTTTTGGCTGAGGCGCCCGAGGCCGAGCCATACATCTTATATTCGAGCTAGCCGCAGGGCTGCTTCAGGACGGGGGAGGCGGCTACATGCAAGCCCAGTGTCAAGCTCACGGCCCACAAACAAACAGCACAGGGCCGATTGCGAGCCACAACCTCATCATTATCGCTGCCTTGGGCCCGCCATGCGACCCACTTGCGACCTGCCCCGCGACCCGCCCCTGATCCGCCCCGCGACCCGCCGCTGCCCCGCGCATGGTGGTCACTTTCCTGCGGTAAGGAGCTCCAAAGAAGGCCCTGGTGGCAGGGTCCGCATGGAGGCCCCGCCCCATTTCGGCATACCCCTCACAAGCTTCGTGGCCTCATAGGCAGTTCCGCCGAAGGCCTCACTGAGGCCGCCTGAGCGGCAGGGTCCGCATGGCGGCCCGACCGTGTGGCACCAAGATGTAGCGAGATGCGTGAATGACGCCGGAGCCATAAAGCGCACAGGTTTCCCACCGCGCACCCTTGGCCACGAACCCACCATAAATTAAGGCTCACAGCCACTAAAGGCAGGGAGGAAACAGCGACGGAAAAGTAATGCGGAAATCGGCCTCCGAGGAGCTTAAAAAGTAGTGCGGAAATTTCCG